TCTATATTATTTATAATTTTTGCCTCTCTGTCTGGGATCGAGAAATCGACGCATCACGAGAAAACCACTGGACAGATTTTGATGAAACTTGGTATGATGATAGCTGGTTATCCGAATCAACATATAGGATACTTTATACTGCGAAAAAATAACTTCTCTCTGAGAAATCTTTACTAAACGTTTAAACGTAACTAGGGGCGAACCTGAGCGGAGCGGGGTTGAGTCGCTAGTATATAAAATATTGAGTGCATAAAAGTTATTTTTAAATAAATGCTAAAAATCAAATTACAATCCAGCCCAGGTGACTTTTGACATCTATGATCACATATCAAAACAATCAAGTTCAACGCACCCGCAGCAAGCCGTGACGCCTAATATTCACATTGCTCATGTCATGTATTAATTTACTTACTATGGAAAAAGGTTTAATAGTGTGTTTATTATTTTACCATATCAAATTAATTCAATCATTTTGACTTTTACTAGTACCCGTTGAACAATCACTGTATATTATAACCAGTCATTGTCGGCTAAAATGGAGAATCTAAAATATTTTTTACCATGTCTAACGGAAATAAAAACAGGTAACAACATTCGGTCAGTTACTATTTTTTTGCCATTGTATAGATGTTTAAACACCAAGAAACTATAGTATACTTAAATATTTCTGACTTAATTTTTTACCAATTAATATCTTACAATGATAAATTGCGGTGTATTGATATCTCATTATAATATGTAAACTTTAATACGACATTGGTTAAAACTCATCATCATCCATCATGGCCAAATCGGAAACGGAAACTGTTCCCATTTGATTAGGGAGGACATGCGCGCGCGCATATCATTTCCTCTCATGTACTGCTCTAGTTAACACGTACTGTTTTTTATTTTATTTTATATTCATATATGTCATTATCCATGAATGATTGACTCGTTTTTAAAGATTATTTAATTTGCCTAATCCATTGTTCCGAAACCTAATGATAAGGCACCTTGATTAATGATCGCTTAAGTCTATCCAGCCTAAGAAAATATTGTTTACAATTTTTATAAGTATCTATTATGTGTATGTGTTGCGAATTTGTTTTATTTAATAACTAGCATTACCCGCGGCTCCACTCGCGTTCAGGTGACTAAAAAGCAAATTCTTAAGTTTTACATATTAGTATACTCTTACAATGCAGTTTTTGTATTTTTCTCAAAAATGAATATTTTCCCGCAGTAAAAAGTATCTTATTTTAATTATTATATTTTTATTTATTGTAAGTTTGTATGGTGATAGCTGGTTATCCGGGTTAACACCAAGATAACCAGCTATCACCATACAAAATTTCATCAAAATCCCTCCAGTGGTTTTTCTGTGATGCGGTAACAGACAGACAGACAAACAGACAAAAATGGTAAAAACTATAGATTCGGCCTCTGTATCGATAATAATGACTATTTCAATAAAGATTTACCAAAAAATATTTAATGTACAGATTCGAATCAGTTAGAATTTTATTATATGTATAGATAGTGATTCTAGGTATCTTTCGAGTTTATTTTAATATAGATATTAGCTACATATAATAAAATGTGTTATCGAGGTCAAAAAAATAATTTTACATTTTTGCACATGATTGTATGTATTCTAAAGTACTTTTGCTGGAAGATTTAATAGCAATTAGATATTTCCCCGCATTAAATAACTTATGTTACTCTCCATACTTTATCTATCTTCTCACAAAATATAACATCAAACCGTCATTCGATTTAGAAAGCAACTAACGGTATTTCAGCCCTTTTTAACGTCCCATTGCTGGGCACGGGCCTCCCTTCAATGCGAAGGGGATCAGGCCATAGTGCACCACGCTGGCGAAGTGCGGGTTGGCAAACTTCACACGTCTATCGAAAAGGTTCTCTCAGACATGCTGGTTTCCTCACGATGTTTTTCTTCACCGTAAGACAAGTGGTATCATGCTGGAAATTATTCGCATATAAAAATATCAATAAAAATATCAGAAGTGCGAGACCCGGGATTTGAACCCGCTTCACTCGGTTTCCCAAGCGAGCACGTTACCACTGGGCTACTACTGCCTATCACATTTATAAAATTGTATTAAGCATAAATATGAGTTTATTTCTTCTTAGATGACTATATACCGGAGGTCACGGGGAAAGTACTGCTTGGTACAGACTTAAATGTCGACCTTATAATATACATAGAGTAGCGACCTAAATTTAGGTTTGTATGTATTGTTTAATGTTTTTAATCTGACGACACGTTTGGCTCAGTTTGTAGTGACCCTACTTGCTGTGCCAGCGGTCGCGAGTTCGAGTCCGCGGGGACATTCATTTGTGTAATGAGCACGAATGTTTGTACTCCAGTCATGGGTGTTTATATTTATATTGTGTATGTATTTAAAGTTATGGTTGGTGTAGTGTATCAACCATCTAGTATCCATAACACAAGCTTTGTGCTTACCATGGAATTAGATGGTGCTGTGTGTTAATGTCCTAACATATTTTTTATTAATCATAAAAAATTAAAAAAATGTTTATCCAAAAAATAAAATATTTTTTTGGGGTGGACAACCCTTATCACTTAGGGTCCTATTCTCAAACCTACTGAATATACACACAACATTTTATAAGAATCGGTCAAGCCGTTTCGGAGGAATATTGTTACAAACACTGTGACACGAGAATTTTATATACTAGATATAATATAGTAAGGTACTTCTTGCAATTTGAATGCGCTATATCTCAGACAAGAGAGAGAGAGAGAGAGAGTAAGGTTAATTCATTCGCTAAATTAATAGAAATGTACAGTTGAACTGGACTATCTGTTGCTTATTGCCACATCTGGTGAGTCCAAATAAAAATACCATTCATCCTCGTCCGGAAGATTAATTTATATAATCAGCATTGAACAAACCCGGGCAAACATAACTGCAAGGGTCCACGGAAGCGGCCCCTAATTACACGTTCTAATGCGACCACGCGCGAGGCATCCCACAATTTACCTGTTACGAATTAGATGCAACCCATTATTTAAGTATCGGTAGCTAGCGTGCATCGTTATCGTAATTTGATTTCTTTCACGAATTCTACGGCGCCATTTGGCCACTAATAGGGCCGTTAAGCCTCATCATAAAACACAATTTCGCCTAAAATCGAAAAAAGACAACTCTCATAACTCGACATGAGCTAACCCGATCTGAAGTGAGCTTCGTGCAATTGGTTATTTCTCATTATGATAATTTGCGGCTTTTAACTCTTGTAATACGTGAGAGCTGCACTTATGAACGGATAACAGAGTTAACGTAACGAGATGTATTGCAAGGTTGGTACTTATGAAAATTATGGTGTGTCGAAGAATTAGTTTTGGGAGTGTATATAGATTTCTTATGAAGCGTTGGCGTGTACCGTAAAGTTTAATTATTAATGCTGCCTGTCTCTTCGTGTAGATGAGACAGGCTATAATTAACAATAGCGTTTTAATTATACAAATTCTCAATGACTCATAATGTGCTATTATATGTTAGACACACGTATCTTTTAAATTTTCTATTTGTTTAAAGTTAATCGAAAATATTAATATGAATGTTATTTTTGTAAAATAATTTGCGTTATTGTAATTGAATTTATCTTAGCAAATTCTTGAACTTGAACTTCATATAACATAGTTAAGTTTTTAAAATGTATTTTTTAAATTCCAACAGAACCTACATAGACAATTAATAACAATTTTAACTCGTAAGTATAAACCTATAATGTTAGAACCAAAATTCAATTTAACTCTTTCTGTGGCCTTTAATAATGCTAGTTGGGCACTGTAAAGAATTAAAACGATAACGATATAAATATAAATCTACTGCTTTTAATTTTATGTCGAGTTTGAATTAATAGGTAAATGGATTTTTGAGACGGGACAGTAAGGGCAGGTACCTGAACTGCTATAGTTACAGGAAAACGTTCCTAGGAGACCATCCATAACTTTTTGAGATATTCGGAACCGCATTCACAGATTTTGGAAAAAATGTACAATTAGCGAAAAAAATGCTAAAATACCAAAAAAAAATTTTTTATGTCATCGATCCTATTTCATGTAGGGATAAAAAGACTCTATGGGACCATTTAAGGTATGAGTACTAGAAATGACAGAAATCGCCAAAAACTTTTCCCATACATTTTGTACGAAAAAACAATTAATTAACTCGAAATATTCTTTGTTGCCAAAGAGTTTTTTGATCCCTACATGAAATTTCGAAATTTCCTTCGAATTTGAGCTTTTTTGTTAGGTTTTGTCAATATATTATTATATTAAACTTCTGTGCATTCAGATTGCTAGTGTAAGTAATAAGCACGTTTAATTTTTAAGTAAAATATAAGTTTACATAACATATTTTGTCATCACATAATGTTTTTGGTACTAGTATTTAGAATATTGATATTTGTGAATAGTTATGCACTTTATAGACTTTAGGCGAACTGCTTCGAAAAATATTGTGTAAGCTGTTTCGAAAAATATATCATAATAGGTTTCTTATATTTGTAACTGTTACTACACTAAAAATATTAATATAAGGTAATAAAAAATTTCCCTTTTTTTTAGTTCGAAACTAAGCCAAAATAAGAAATAAATGATGGGGAGTTTTCATTAGCAATTAAGTATCTACATATACATATATATTAAATTTTGTGGAAAGCCTGATTCAGTTTTAAAATTCTCTAATAAGAAACTACATTATATTTAAGTATCGTTGACTTCAAGGATGATTAGTATCCGAGAATAAAAAATATGGCCTTTCAACAATCTTAACAAAATAATATCAAATAAAAAAGACGTAAGAAATAAAAAAATGACCCTTTTATAATATTTGTATGACTTTAGTTTTATATTTGGATGGGTCTACGTATAATCATACGGCACGAAGATTTGATACACCCTAGATTTAACCAGCGGTTTAAACAAAGAATCAAAAAGCATAGTAGATAGCACCTAGTGGTCATTTAATACAAGAAACAATCTGTGCAATGTAGACAGAGTGTCTCGTGTCGATACATCGAGGCAGGTAGGCATGAATGGCGGCGCCCCGCTGGCCGTGAGTTATGCGCTGGGCTCCCGGGGCGCGGCCGCTGCCTTCACACCTCACCCGCGTGTGGTCCCGCTTTACGAGCCGGCAGGCTGCTGCGCGCGCGCATTGCCTTATGTAACACAGCGCCATCGATTTAATTAGTAAGGTATCTTATTTTTTCTTTATAATATGTTGCTAAAATAACATTTTATATGATCTTACGTTGTCACTTAATAACCTATCCTAAAATACAGTTTTACATGCTACTACTTGTGTTAAGAGCTTTTTATTTATAACGCCATCAATAAAATAAATCTCCATTCATCATTTTTTGTAAGTTAAAATACCAAAGTAAAGTTTGGTTTATTTTTTTTTATCAATAACCTCAACAATTTACGACAACGAACTATTATACGGAATTATTAAAACAAGACTCAGGAAAATTTCACTACATAAATGTACCTATATCATTTGCCGAACTAAAATTGTTGCAGCGTTGCTAGAAAAAATTCTTTTTATCGAATTTCCAAATACATAAAAAGATATTTTATGATAAAGACATTGTCAAATTAAAACACCACTGGTAGAAAAACAAGATAAATTTACTGGCATCTCATTGCATGAACGCCACCGAAGCTCCCTAAATCTTCCAACCTTACTAGAGTAGATGTCCTGAGCGCACGTATTACAATATTAGTCACATTAGTGTGCATACTTCACTTGAAAATTATTTTATTTCTCCTACTTATTACGGCCTGCCGGTATTCCTGCGAGATACGATACTGGCCACCGCGATTTTTATTGGACAGGAAGGAAATTCTAACATTTAATATATTGTGAGTAAAATGTTTCGAGCTATATTTATTTAAGCACCCGTGAGTATAAATCCGGTGTAGGTTGCATCCAGAAGCTATTTTATACTTCCTTTATTTTTGTTTTTTACGCTGTATCAGTTGAATGATATTGCTATATGGAAGATAAAAATTGAGTAAGTGTTAGTTTGAAAAAAAAAATTCTTTATACACCATGTTATACTAAGGATTGATACGTAAATTATCTATTCTGGTCTTGTTAAGACAAATTGTGGTGTTAGTAAGCGCAAAACAATTTTTGTTAGCTAGTTATGTTAAAGGTAATAAATAAAAAATAAAAGAAAAAAAAATAGCATGAAGCTAAGTAATTGTAAATGGTACACTTGATAAAATAAAATAGCTTGTAGCTTTTAAAAAATGTAACATCCGATTGAAAGATCTAAAGCTTCTAAGATTTTAAAGGAAAGAAAGATTTTAAATTTAAAGTGTGAATCATCTTTATAAGTTAAACAATTCGTTTGTAAATGCTAGAAAATAAATTTTTGTTCTTTAATTAATGATATTAATCATTAATTATCATATTAATGAACACAGATTATCATATTAATTTATAAATAATTTATTTACGTATAAATAGATAAAATAACTTAAGAAAGTAATATGTCAGGTAAATCTGTCTGCTTAGTGTAAATTGTGCATCCTATTCTCTAAAAATATTTCACTATATTACAATCAAATATAAAATATTTAAATAAAATAAACATTTTATTTCACAAAAAACATATAATTTTATAGATTTATTACCTTGACCACAACCATACATACATACATATATAAAAAGTCATCTAGAAATGCAAGCAAGTATTGATTATATTGTATTGTATTGTATATTGGACTCGTTTTCCGCACTTAGACTCGCATTTGGTCCGTTGTACGTTGCGAATCCTGGCTAGTTCAGCCAGCCTAACTCCGTCCAAAAGCGCAAAAGCTTCCTGGGAGCTTCACAGGCTTCGCGGAGCGACCTCACCGGTTCGAGGATTTCATTTCGTTGGGAAGTTACCGCTACGCATTCCAGGACTACGTGAGCGACTGATTCTACAGCGCTAAAACACCCTCTGCAGAGAGGGCTGTCCGTTGCGCCAATGTTAAATAAGTGTTTGTTTAAGAGACAGTGGCCCGTTATTGTCCCTATCATTATTTTTAGGTTGGTTCTATTTAAGTTTAGTAGGCGTTTAGTGAGACGTGGGTTGACTGCGGGCAATGCTGATCTAGCTTGCCTGCAGTCTGTCGTTAGCGACCATCTCTTATTTTGAAGCGTCAGCGTTCTTTGGCGGATCCAGGTGCGAACCTGTGAAAAAGGTAGAGGAAGAAGTGGGTATGGGCCAGTTACTTCTAACCTCGATCCTTTCTTTGCAAGTTCGTCAGCTGCATCGTTGCCTAGTGAGCCGCTGTGGCCCTTGATCCATTGAACAGTGACTTGATTGGTCAGTGCTATTGTATCGAGGGCATGGTGACACTCAATTATTAATTTATTGTTTGTTTGTTTGTTTGTTAACGCCTGCAGAACGGCAGCGCTATCGGAGAGGATTTTTATGTTATAATTATTTACCTCCCGTCTTTGCACTGCCCTTGCGGCTTCCGTTATGGCTACACATTCGCATTGGAAGATCGAACTATGTATGCCTAATGGTATGTGTATGTTGACATTGAGATCGAGGGAAAATATCCCAGCTCCAGAGCCACTCTGCGTTTTGGAGCCATCAGTGTAAATTCGTAGCTCGTTGGCTGCTGGTTGGTCTATTTTCTCTTCAATCATGTTTATGTTAAATTTTTTGTTGAAGATGTGTTTGTTATATGTTCTGTCACACGGGGCAGCAATAAGCGGTAGTTGCTTTATTGCTCTGTCCAATATGGATGTGTGTGGACTGTTGTTGTTTTTCCCCCATAGACCTAAGTGCATCAGCCTTATGGCAGCCATGGTCGCCTCTTGCTGTATGTATAGGTCCAGGGGTGTTGTTTGGAGTGCTATTTCTATGGCTGCTGTGGGAGTCGTTTTCATACAGCCACTGGTAGCAGACAATGCCAGCCTTTGGAAGCGTCCTAGTTTCGTGATTACAGTCCGGAGTTCTGTTCTGGTCCACCAAACCAAGGCCCCGTAGGTTAGCATTGGTCTAACTACCGCCGTGTATAGCCACATAGTTATTTTCGGCGAGAGCCCCCATTTTTTGCCTAGCATTCTTTTGCACTGATAGAATGCAATGGTTGATTTATTAAGTTTGTAGTCAAGGTGCTTATTCCATAGCAGTTTACTGTCTAGGATTACACCTAAGTATTTGACTGATTCTTTTAGTTTTATTTCAGTTTTGAAGAGTTTCGGAAGTTTATAGGGTCCGAGTACTCTTCGGTTTGTGAACATGATCAATTCTGTTTTCATGGGATTAACGGAGAGCTCATGTTTCAAGCACCAGTTCTCCGTTATTTTGAAAGCTTTCCTCATGCGGTCACATAGAGTGCTTTCAAAGTTTCCCGATATTAAGATGGCTATATCATCAGCGTATCCTACCGTGTACAGGCTGTTGTCGTTGAGCTCTGTTATGAGCTCGTTTACAACAAGGTTCCACAAAAGTGGAGATAAAACTCCGCCCTGTGGACAGCCTCTACTTACGATGCCCCTTGTCGTAGTATTAACGGTAAACTGTATAGCTCGTTGTTTTAGCATGTTATTTATCCATTCTATGAGTGTAGGATTTACACCACTTGTTAGCAGGGCTTTGTTTATACTGGTAAAGTTGGTTTTGTCAAAGGCTCCTTCTATGTCAATGAAGGCGCCTAGGGTGGGTTGTTTCTGATTCAGCGAGCTTCCTATGCGAGATACCACACTGTGGAGTGCCGATTCCGTTGATTTGCCTGCGCTGTAGGCATGTTGGTTAGGGTGTAGTGGGTGTTGGAGGGATATTTGGCTCCTAATCTCTCTGTCCCCCAGTCTCTCCAGCGTCTTTAGGAAGAACGAGGTAAGGCTGATGGGTCTAAAGGATTTAGCCAGGTGTAGTCCCCTCTACCTGGTTTTGGGATGAAAATTATCTTTACTTCTCTCCATTTCAATGGTATGTAGCGGTGTGCTATGCAGGCTTGGAACAGCGTTACCAGATAATCTGCTAAGATGTCCACGCTCCACTTTAGCAGCCCGGGAAAGATACCATCGAGGCCAGCGGCTTTGAAAGGGAGAAAAGTGTTTATTGCCCATATTGTTTTTTCTTTGTTAATTATGTTTTTGGCTGCGTTCCAGTCTAGACTGCTGGTAGCTCTCTCTTCGTAAGGCTCCCATTTTTGCGTGTTTGCAATTTGGCAGCCAGGGAAGTGGGTTGTTAGCAGCAGTTCACTGGTCTCCGCGTCTGTTTTGGTGTAGGTGTTGTCTGGTTTTTTAAGGCTGCCAATTGAGTTGTCTGTCTCTTTAGATAGACACGATTTCACTTTGATTGCCTGATTGTTATTTTCTATGCTGGAGCAAAAGTGTCTCCAGCATTCTTGCCTTCTGAGGCGTATGAGTTTTTTATAATGTTTTCTGGCTGACGTGTAGGCGTCCCAGTCGACCTGCGTTCGTCTATTCCTAGCCCTATTGAACAGTTTCCTGACTTTCCGGCGTTGCCTCTCGAGTTCGGGGCACCACCAGTGTTGCTTCCCTCCCCATCTAGGTATGGTGAGGGGACAGGACTGTTCGTAGCTCTCCAGGAGTAGTGTTGTGAGACTTTCTACATAGTTGTCTATGTCAGTTATGTTTAAGTTATTTGTTGTTGTAAGTCGATTTCCTATCTCGGTGCTGATCAGCCTAACGAACTTAGATCGATCAGTCCTTTGTGGTAATCTTCTAGGTAATGGTTTGGGCAGGTTCATGTCGACGGTGAAACGTATCCATCTGTGGTCCGAACAGGATAGTTCTTTGGACACATGCCAGTTATGGATATAGTTCGACAAATCTGTCGTTACCATCGTCAGATCAATTATGGTCTGTGAACGAGCGTTTATAAATGTTGGTTCTGAGCCTTTGTTGAGTAGGGTGAGGTTGTTACTAAAAATGAAGTTAAGTGTGTCCTCACCTCGAGTGTTACAAGTGGCATTCCCCCATAACGTGTGGTGTGCGTTGGAGTCTGCCGCGATGATTAGGTCCAGCTTCTCCTTCTCACAGTACTCAACCAGTGAGTTGAGCTCTGGAGTCGGTGTGTCCTCGTCACTCGGCAGGTAGGCAGAGGCAAGGACAATGTCGGGGAGTTGCTGGTCGGTTCTTGAAAGTTTTATAACTGTTAGGTCCCTTGAACATAAATCGTTTATTATTAAGGTTGT